TGTTGGCTCGATTTTGTATCTATAAAAAGCCAGCTGAACTTGTTTAGTTTGCTCGAGATGATCCACTGTTCGATTGTTTTCAACTTTGAGTGCGCTAAATGTATAAGTTCTAGTTCTTCACTGCTTAATCGTAGCCTTGGTTGTCCCCTTTGTCGCTTTTTATTCATTATAATAAACTCTTATCAATAATAGCTCAATCTCATGCTATTTAAATCCAACTGCTGCTTTTACATACTAGAATGTTGTCCATGTCCTGCTATTGTTTTGTTCTTTTTTTTGGCTTCAAGGCGTAGTATTATTATAACCTGCTTGTTTCCATGATCCACAGCCTCGACGCTAAAGTCTCTAATCCTTTCCTTGAAAACTTTGTTTCCTAACCGTGTAACAAGCATCTACATTCCATTCGATCATGTTAAATAAAGTCTATTTTCATGATAAGTCTTGACTATTTGTTTGATGTGGTTAAAAGGGCTCAATAGTTGAAGTGTAAGATTTTACCACCTTGTTTTTCTCTGTTAAGTAGTGTACTTTCAGATTTTGCTGGTTTTATTATTGTGCAAGAGTAGATGATTACTAGCCTTTAAAGTTATCCAACTTCAATTCTGTAGCATTGATCATGTTTAGTGAGTGCCCCAAATTTGTTGGTTTGTTTATTAACGTTCAATGAAGTCTTGATATGTTGCTAATAATCAATAAATAAATAGGCTCTCAAGTTCAAATTAGATTAGTCGTTATTGCTTCCCTTAATGTGTTCTATACCCTCTCATGTGTCCCTTAAGTTAGTTGTCATATACTTTCGTTCCCTGTTTGAAATGCTTTGATGCCATGAGCCTTTAAAACGTGCAGTTGGTTTAGTTTTGCGGCAAGTTGGATTATTTTTATTTATTTTGCCCATTAACTTAGAAAGGTTCCTTATAGTTGTTAAGTTCTTAAAGTTTAATAGTAGGAGTTATATCTAGATGTGTTCAAAATGATAGTTTTCCACCATAGCTTTCATGCCTTTGTGCACTTTTGTCTAGTAATCCATCCATTTAGTTCACCGTTGACCTTTCTTTACATCATTAAGTTAATACTATATTATATATATTCATCTAGTTGAGAAGCTCTCTGTAATGGCCTATCCTATTCCTAATTAATTGTCGCAATTATCTCTCCTTTTAGATACAATGTCAACACCTTTTGTCTAGAAGCATATTTGTTCGTAATTATGTTCTTATTTCATAGAATAACATGTTATCTTCGTCACAAGTTAATCATTTGATCATGTGTTCGTTGAGGGCTCTTATTTTTATTTGTTTTCTAATTCTCTTCTTTCTTTTGTGCGTATGTGAATCCCTTTTGAGTCCATGGAGACTCCACTTCCTATCCTCGCATTTCGGGGATTGTGCTTCTCTTTATCGAGTCCAAAATAGCCGGTGAACAGGTCACAGGCAGTGTAAGACCTGGGAAGCCAAAATTTTCAGATCCCGGAAAGCCCAAAGGGGTCATATACAAGATGTATACGTCAATATACATCGATCTACAGGTCTAAAACGCAGGGATACAGGGCTGATGCAAAATACATGTATTTGGAAGCAAGAAATACATAAAAAGGGCTGATGTACATGCCGATATACACTGATATACATCAGCTGTATACGCAAAACGGGAATGAGATTGGAGCTTAAAAATATAGCGAAATTGGCCCAAGAAGAGGCCCAATTTCATTATCTCGTTTACTCTTTTAATTGTTTGATTATGTGTTGACTAATCTTATCTAACTCTAACTTTATAATTTTTAATTAACTTAATTAGACCCCCAAAAGACGAGCTATTTCTTTGTGTGGTTTTGTTTCTAACAAAATCTCATTTTATCAACTTTTGTATTGTCATTTATAATCTTTAGTCACAACTTTCTTTTTTTTTCTTTTATTAGTTTGAAATAGTTTTTTTTTTATTCATAAACCAAAAATGACTCAAATAAAAACCAACTCATTTTGTTTTTTTGTTAAAATTCTAAGTTACTTGTCTCTAATTCAAATATTTTAAATAGGGTCCCATTTTCTTAAAAAAATAAAAATTGCTCTTTGTTTAACTATTTTCTCAAAGTTAATCTAATAATGTTAATTATTATTATAATATACATACTTAGTCGTTTTCTCAAAAAGGTTAGTCAATTAATAAAAAAAATGATTTTCATGCCTTAATTTACCAAACTGGTTTAAATTATTATTTCAAAGTGAATAAAATAAATTCTAATTAGTCTATTTTATTAATTTTCTAATCACTTGCACCTTAATTCAATTGTTTTCATTTTAGGTCTCTTCCTCTAAAAAGATAGAATAAAAATGGTTCATCTCTCAATTATTTTTTAAACATAATCGAATAATGCAAATTATTATATATTTTTATGTTAAATTATTTTTTCTAAAAATAGTCAAATACATTTTAGTCAAGTCGCAGGTCAACCGCATGTTAACGGGCACTTCGAATGCTTAAACCCTTCTCGAAGTGTAAATTGAACCCCGAACCTTCTTTGGTATTTTCAAATGATTTTTTCTGTTTAAGTATTTGAAAATTATAAGTTTTCTTAATTTCTTTAAAAAATTAAGTGGCGACTCTTTTCTAAGTATTTCTTGAATTGTTTAATACTTAGAACATTTCAAAAAGTGATTTTTCTAGAAATAGTTAAATTACGGCACAACAGTATTAATACATCAAATTTATATATGATTCTCTTTTTTCTCTTCGTTGAAGAGGGGTATGACATTGCAACAAAGTTTCTATTTTGTTTCGAAAATGTTGAGTTTTTCAAAGATTTAAGTTATTGTTTTGCTTTTAAAAGTTAGATTCAAGTTGTGTGTCAAGAGGAAAGTTCTTCATATCAATAAAGTATTCGATTGTAAGGGATCAGATTGGGACTCTAAGAAGGAATAAAGGATTGGATAGGGCCTTAGAAATGAGTAAGGGGTCGAATTGGGCCCTAAAATGCATAAGGAATCGAATTGTCAATCCTAAAAATAACCATAAAGTAGTTATAGGATGATATATTGCAAAACAAAAATGCAATCAAAGACTTTTTACGTTATTAGAGAATGGTAAAGTATGATTATTTAGGTTGACAAAATGTTTATGAATTGATTATATCTAATTCCATAAATACTTCTTATCCAGGTATAAAATATAACAAAAAAAAACAAATATGAAGCGTAAAAACAATCAACAACCGAAAAATTATGGAAATTGATTATTTTTAAGAACAATTCGTGATGAAACAACTAAACGAACAAACAACCAATAAGATCACATAAGAACATGACAGTCATGGTCCATGAAGAAAAGAAAACAAAAAAAAAAACACTTATGTTCAACAAAAAGTGAAATCAAGAGAGTGATCTTGACATATCAAATATTTGCTTAAGATAAAAGCGGACATGACTCACATTCAACAAATGTCTCAAAATAGAGGAGTTGATGACGGGAAATATTTCATATTTCTTTAAGGTAATTTAATTATTAGTGTATATAAGGTTTGTAGTTACATTAATTATGCTTATTTTGATTATTTTTTGTAATAATTAGTAGTTATAAAACAAACATATTAATCACCTTCTACTTTCTTGTTTTCTTTTGTTCATGCAATAATATTGACGAAAAAATAGTGTATTTATATGTTTAAAACGGTCGACTACGGATGTGACATTGTCAACCACGTCCTAAAAGTAAAACAAATTCGTGGTGATATTTTCTTCATTGTATGGGTCTTATTTAGTTTCTCATATTTCTAATTAATTGGTTTCTCACATTTAGAGCAAATCATGCAAAGAGACCGAGATGTAAAACTAATTCGGTTATGAAAGAGCTTTGATTGTGAGTGGAGTTTATGCCCCTTTATGCTCTTTAAATATACTAACAGGTTAGTCAAGAAAGAATACGAATTCAACAACTACTGAAGCCTTACTACAATAAATGTCTCCTTCAATTTCATTATAATTAAGTACTTCATTTTTCATACTATTAATTTTAACAATGAGTGATATTGTTTTTATATATGATTTGAATGAGGTCATTATGTGAACGTAAACATGGATAACAATTACTTCTATGATGATCTTGATGAGTACAAAAATCAGTCTACCATAAAAGACATCAAGGGAAACTTGTGTTTGAACTACCATGTGAAGAAATTGGTCATATATAATATGCGGAAGGATTATATATTAAATAGATATTTATAATTATAATTTTTTAAAATGCACATTATTTTATGACAATTTACTAGCAATAATAATAATAACTAGTTATTCTTTAATATAATTCTTTTATATGAAATATAGATATTTTTTTCATGTCAAACTTTAGTCTTTTTTATAAATATAAATTTGAACAAAAAATTTGAAATCATTATTTAGAAACAATGTTGGTACGTCTTCTCGGTCACATGATCAAGAAATGCAAGTTCAACATGAGGAAATTGTCCGTACTATGTGGAGGATTATATTAAAGATTAGTACATTACAATTTATGTTCAATTTATTTTTATTAAATTAAAGTTAGATGAAACAATTACTTAAGTGGAGAACAAATAACTTTGTAATAATTTATTATGCGATTTTATAATTTTTTGTTTATTTGATAAGATTGAATAAACAATTGGGACTATTTTAATAGTTTTACAACTTATGAGATTTTTATGTTTATGAAAAAATATACAACACAAAAATTTCATATCTTGCATGTCCAAACAAAACTTCAATTTCATCTCATGATACCATATTATGATTCCACATCATGATATCATATCGCATGGCCAAACGGCCCTTAAACTATTTGAGAATTGACATCATGTAACTTCCAAATTTCCAATATCAACGTAGGCAAATGTACGAAACACGGCATAGCATGCATACCCCGCGGCCCCGCCTAAGCAGAAAGAGAGAAAAGTAGGGCTAAAAGCACTGTTCTGCAGGCATTTAGGGTGCTTCATTTGTGTTGTATCCATTGAACAATAGCAGTAGTTATGGATATTGAATGTGTAAGGTTCAATGTTAAAAACTGATTGTTTTGTTGGTGTTCATTTCAAATTTTTCAATCATATGGCTTTAGCATCTAGTCCTCATCAAACTTACATTCCTCTCCCATCTTCCAATTCAGGTGGTCTTTTATCTCCCAATATTTAGTTTTACTTCCATGATGGTATTGGTGTTGTTAATTTGAGGTTTTGGGAATGATTAGGGCTTTTATTTGGTTTATTGGTGTAGTGGGTGGACATCAGTTCGTTTCCCCTTTTGCATATAGTAACCTTGAGGTTTGAGATGCTGTATTTTACCCGTGGATTTAACTCTACCGGAAATTTGCAAATGGGGGTTTACTCTGTTTCAGTGGCTTGTGGTGGTGGTAGGGGTTTGGTGGATGGTGGTATTTCTTACTTATTATCATTCTCGACTTTCCATTTTTGTTTTTTGTTCTTCCTAAAACTCCATCATCTCTCTTCAAGTTTCTATGATTCTAAGGCTTTAGAACAGTTCTGAGGCTAGGGTTCTTGATTTTGTTGCTATATGCTTCCATGATTTATCTTTTGCATACTACAAATCAGTAATTGCTATTTCGGCACAAGTCAACTGGCATGTGTTTTCATCCTGATAATCATATATTCTTTTGTCATTTTTGCGGTTTGTTTTCTTGTGATTAGTTTTGTATGAGCTATCATGCATTTGAGCAGGTGGTAGGCATGCTGATCATGAAGTAGTTTTAAAACCAGTCCCCATTTATATCATCAGCCATGAATCTCAACTTCCAGCCACATTTCTCAACCCTTCTCCAAAAAATGAGATGGTTGTTGGACTTGACTGCGAGGGTGTTGACCTCTGTAGATATGGAACTCTCTGTATTGTGCAGGGTTTTTTTCAGTTCTCACATGTTCTGAGTAGATACCAACTTTGTGCTTCACTTGATTTTCGATATTATGATGTTATTCAGCAGTAGCTTTGTAAGTTTATTATGAGTAACTTTACTTAATATATGTTTTCTTGCAAAGCAAAAACACATTGGTAATTTGGTACACTTCTTGAAGAATAAGTTTGTATAAGTTGTAGACATCCAGAGAATTATCTCCTAATCTTTCGTTGCCTGACAATGAAAAAATGTAAAAACTGTAGATATAATCCTCTTTAAGACTTTATGCATCCAAATCAAATACCTGCTCTGTTCCAAATTAATGGATTCAGTGCCCGAGTTTTAGATGTCAAGGCTTGTACTCAAGCACCCTGTCAACCAAAATTTGACTAGTTTGGGCATTGGTAAAAACTTGTCGTTTTGGCGGCCTTAGTCCAATCTAGTGTATAAATTGCGAGACGTGTAAATTGACTGTCTTAGTTGGTTAGGTGATTCCATGCGCTCTGTTCCAAATTAATGGATTCAGTGCCCGAGTTTGAGATGTCAAGGCTTGTACTCAAGCACCCTGTCAACCAAAATTTGACTAGTTTGGGCATTGGTAAAAACTTGTCTTTTTGGCGTCCTTAGTCCAATCTAGTGTATAAATTGCGAGATGTGTAAATTGACTGTCTTAGTTGGTTAGGTGATTCCATGCTTAGTTTCACATGTTTATAGGTATTTTGGTAGAAATTTGTGTGGGGCTTGACCATATTCACCTTTACCTTTACGTTCTTTTTGATGAAGTATGGATTGACCTTTCCTCATTTAAATTAATAGCTTGCTTTTCCGGACGCTATCTACTTGGTTGATGCAGTACGCGGTGGGAGAAAGTTGATTAACGCTTGTAAGCCTGCTCTTGAGTCTGTTTATGTCACAAAAGTTATTCACGATTGCAAACGGGATAGTGAGGTCGTATAGAACTTCTTTTAGCTGCCTCTTGTTTCTCCTTTCCCTCTTGTATCATTTTTGTCACATTTTTCCTCTTTATTTTTCAGGCATTACACTATCAGTTTGGTATCAAGTTGCACAATGTTATGGATACCCAGGTTAGCTTCTGGTACTTTCTTTCGAGCTACTTGACTACTAGTTTCTCATGTTATCCTCTGAAATACCTTTTAACTAAAGTAGTAAGTGATTCCCACATTACTCTCCAGCTGCTTAACCCGACCCTTTTCATACTCATTGCATGTTGTCCTTTCTACCACCTCATATTTATGATATTTGTTTTATTATCGTTCACCTGGATTGTGCTGATTTCCAGCCGTGATAGTTTTGATTTCTACACTGGCTCTGCTTGTATTCTCTCTATATTTTGTTAAATTTACTGCACCATTTTTTGTGACTTCTAACTGATTGGGGATTGTATGTAATTTTAGAAGATGCTCAAATGATGAAATCTAAAAAAATAAAAAATTGGGACCTTTATATGGTGATTTGGCATCAAGACACTTTTCTTTTTAGTTGCTAGCTATGATGATTACTTCTTCAACCATGCAGTATAAATCTCTCTCGGATTATTAAATGAATCATTTCCCACTGTTTCTTTATTCCAGATGTGGTTTATTTAATTTAAATCAGTCCTGAATATTAACTTACTTCCAACAGCGATACAAAGTTGCTTTTATATCACAGTGACTGCTTTTCTTTCTATGTTGTACAGATAGCTTATTATCTGATAGAGGAACAGTTGGGGAAGAAGAGCACACAAGATGGCCATATCTCTTTTGTGCGCCTTCTTGCAGATCCACGCTATTGTGGTACTGTGTCCTTATTCTGCCTCTATTTATCTTTTCCCATGTGGTGACTGCATTAAGTATATGAATGTTGATTGTTGAGTGGTTAAATGCAAGAATCCCTACTGGATGACCAGATAAGTTTGGTTCCTGGAAACGTTTTGATTTGGTTTTGAGAAAAAGGGAACACATCATCTAGGATTTGGTAGTGATTATGTTTGCTCTTATGGTTTTTTATCATAAAAGACAAGGAAACGTGTTGCAAAGTTTCTTCTTTGAAGTGCATCTCATTCTTTGAGGAATGTCTTTTCACCATTGTGTTAGCCATACATTTTGAGAGATGGCATTGGGAAGTGATATTGTTCTGTAAGTTTTGATTAGGGAACAAACTAATATGCATATTTCAAGTTGTCATGGTAATGAAATTCAAATTAATAGTGAAAGGGAGGAGCAGGAACCTTCTAAAGGAAAATATTCTTTTCTGGTTAGTTCATAACTTCGAATTGTATATAAAGAAAACAATTGAAGCAACAATTCTATAGTGTACAGCAAGTACTCTTCTTGATACTGGCAATATAACCTCATATATTTTGCACTTCCAGTGGAGTTTGTAGCTCTAACCACCTCTCCTCTCTGACTGCTTTTGCTCATTAAATCCTAGGGAATGCAATGAACTTTAATGATGATCATGACTAGAAAAAGCTTGCTATGGCAAATTTCTCATTGTTGGTTGTGAAATAGAAGTTCATGGACAGATTTAGTTGCTAATACACTTTCCTTTACTTTGTATCTCTTTTATGTGATTGCAGGTATATCATACGTGGAGAAAAAAGAAGTCCGTTCCCTTTTGAAGGAGGTTGGATTCTGTTTTACCTATTCCTCTCTTCAGTTGACATGCCTACCATGTGGAACATGCATCTTTGGATATCATTCCCAGATCACAGTTAAAAGCCATACAGAAGAAATGAGCATTTTAAGAAAGTTCTTGGATGGGTTTTCAAAGACTTTGGTAGTAGAAAAATATGGTGAAATATAAATGGAAACAATCACCCAGTAGGCAACTGGCAACAACTAGTCTTCCAGAAGTAACACAGTGTGAAATAAACCAATGTCTTACCATGCCTCTCCCACCCCCAAATAAAAAGAATACAAAAAGGAAAAAAGAAAGCCATCCTCAAATCAGTGCTGTTGGAAATGAGGATGGGTTGACAAGATTTTCATTGTATATTGCTCCACTGAACTATGTCCTCTTCGAAATAGTTTATTTTTTATTTCTTATTACACTGTATCTGGGATGTCTTGTGCTCATCTCAACTATTCCACTAGATACTTGCTACCTTCCACTGGCACAACTAATAAGACAGATGGGAAGAAATCACATAGTGTTTTTCCGTTCTCTAGGATTTAACCCTAGACCTCATGGCTCTTCAAAATAGTTGCTGATGACATATAAATGGTATTGCATTTAGATAACATACTGGCCTAAAAGGCTTCAGGTTTTGCTCAGTTATACTTGACAGCAACCTTTCACTTCTCAAATTCATGTTAGTCTTAGATTAACGATATGGAGCTTCTTTCCATGCTTATGTACTCCCTTTTCCGCACAGTGTCGTGGCTTATGTACCTTCTAGAATTGTATTGCTTAGTTCTTTTTTTTATACAGGATCCCCAGTTTTGGACCTACCGACCATTATCTGAGCTAATGGTCCGTGCAGCTGCTGATGATGTTCGATTTCTTCCATACGTATTCCATAAGATGATGGAGAATTTGAGTGAAGAATCATTGTGGAGACTTGCAGTTCGTGGTTCACTTTGTTGTCGGTGTTTCTGCATAAGTGACAACGAATATGCTGATTGGCCAGCAATCCCTTCTATTCCAGGTGATCTCGAACTCTCCACCAAGTCTATGAATGCATATAGTGGTACCAAAAGATATATGTTGTTTTGTATAGATATACTTTAATATAATTGGAGAAGTTTCTTATCCTTCATGACTATATTAAGGCATTGGAGCCTTGTCCTGACTTTTGCCAGGTTTGATCACCTATAAGTTAGTGGAAAATTAAGCTGCCCCATGAAAAGTATTAACACAAGAAGTGTTAGATGTGAATTTAAAATAGTACATGATTTTGAAAATTTAATTTGTGAAGTCTGTAGCTTATCAATTTTGTAGACATTTTGAACCAATAAAATGTTTGTGCATTTATGCTAAAATGTGATACTCTTGTCAGAGTTCCTCAATGTGGAAAGAGATACTTTATAAGACGAGATCTTGTCCATACTTGATGTGCCACCCGGGAAAATGGGACGTGTTATTGGTAGAAAAGGATCCTCAATTTTGTCAATCAAGGAATCATGCAAGTAATAGTCTCTCCCTTTGATCATTCTTGTTTGCTGGTTTATAGCTTGTTTGGCTAAGCTTTTAGCTAAAAGCACTACTTTTTTTTCCTTTCCAAATAGTGCTTATTTTAGAGAATTGAAGTGTTTGGCCAAAACTTTTATGTAAAAATAAGTGTTTTTGAGCAGTAGCAATAGTTTTTCCCTAGAAGCACTTTTCGAACCTTGGCCAAGTACAAATTACTGCTCTAATATTGACAAAAGTGATTTTCAAATTGATTAGCCAAACTTGAATTGCTACTCTCCAAAAGTACTTTTTTCGAAAAACACTTTTCTAAATAAGAGATTTTGGAAGCTTGGCCAAACATGCTATTAGTGGGTCCTAATATGAAACATTTTGCAGGGCAGAAATCCTAATCAGTGGATCGAAGGGAGCACCAGACAAGGTTGGTGAATATAAACATGTACTCCCTCCCTTTGAATTTATGTGGTGGTTTGATTGGACATGGTGTTTAAGAAAGGAAGAAAAGCTTTCGGAAACATTTGGTAAAAAACAAGCCATACACTTTTATATGTAAAAGAGAATTTTCAAGTAAATTGTTTCTTGAAATATGCTTAGTACTATAATTCGAGCCTCAGCAGAGGCAAAAACACTAGTCTAGTCGAATTCTTCACATTTGTCCAAGCCTTGGTGACCAGAGTTACCCGATACTAGTGATGATGGGAAGTGAGGTAGCAATATCCCCGGGAATTAGTTGAGGTGCAAGCTCGTCCAGATACCATGGTTATTAGAAGAAAAAAAATGGACTACTCTTGTCATTATTGTATTTTTGGTTTTAGATGCAACCAAGTTTTAAACTTTAGAAGAGTCGGTCAGGGATTAGTTAAGAGATTTGAAGATCTAAGCTAATTACACCTAATTGCAGAGAAACGATGGGATGAGCCACATTGGGTGTTGGGCTTGTTCACAGCGTATCTCTGGATGCTTGAGGCCAAGTCTTGCGAGACAAGAGCCTCACACTTCTGGCCCAATGTTTTCTGTCCTCACTCCAAGGCCAGCTCCGGATGAGTCCCAGTTTATCCTTTCAAAATATCTTATTTGAAAAGGATTCCATAGTAATCGTTTGCACCTGTTAAAATGCCTGCCTGCCTGAGAATTGCATTTTAGCATGTAAATATTAGCCTGGGAAACGAAGAAGTTTAGTAATATGATATATATTAAAAGTGCACGCTAACTAGAATGATAGCTTCGGTTATTATTAAAAAAAAATACGGGTTGAGGGATGTTGATTTGATATGTTTAACACCAATCTTCTCTGTTTGATCAGGTTTTCATCATTGGACCCCTGAAGCAGGTAAGGAAAGCAGAAGCCATGTTGAGGGGCCGGATGTTGTGACTTGTGAGACAATCCTTTTGCCGCACCTGGAAGCCAGAGCTTTGCAATCGTATCACCCGATCATCACACTAAACAATCTCACTTCTTTTTGCTAATATACAAACCCTGATCTCCCAAATGCCAATTCATTTCACAGTCGACAGGGTTCTAAATCAATGCATCTATTGTTGAAATTAAATTCGTACTTGTTTTACTCGTGAATTTGACAATACTTCTCTTACGTGGACGGGATAGACATTGTTCTATAGGTCAATTGTGAACTTGATTGGTGGAGTGGTCTTGGGGGGTCATTGTCATGCCCACGGAGTGGCCAACTTGGGAATTTTGAGAATGATACTGGATAGGAGTGGACTATAAAAATCTAGTTGTAATTGTAGTGGGAGCCATGGGGGGATAGTTCTAGAAAATGTGGAGAAAGTGACAAAGGGATAAAAGCTAGCCCCCCCTTCTTCACAGTTCACATGACCACACGGTGACTTTGGGGGATTACGGACAAAAGAGGTCGTTGGTGGGCTTAAGGCCATTGAATTTGAAACAGCGTCACTGTACAATGCATGTACAGCAAATGTTTCTTCAAATACAAAGAAACCTCTTCAATGCTGAATTGATTTGATGTTGACTTTTCTTTATCCAATGCACACCCTCTGTTATTTTTACTCTTATCACTTTTGACATTAAGAAAAAATAATATATTTTTTTCATGTTTTAAAACATCGTTTAATAGGGAATTGTTTAGTAAAATATCTATATTTGTAGTTGTTTTTTTAATAAGTGTGTCAAGTCAAACAGTGACAAATAAAAATGAACAGAGAGAGTATCCGTGTTATCCCTGCCGACTTGTGTGGTTGTTCATTTCTAGCAAATGTGAGCACGAACTCTAAGAAAAACAGTTCCACAAAGTTGGCAATGATGGGGCCATTTCTCATTTAAGGCACCAATTATTTTTGGTCTAATAAGACTCAAATTTGCTACTGTTGGAAGTTCTCGTGAAACTATACTACACTTTAACTCATTTTTAATGGGAGACTATATTATTCGATGAAGACAACAACAAATAACGATTATACTTCGATCCTAAGCAATTTGAGGTTGACTTTCTTAGTTTTCGTTGTCTATGTCATTATGTTTGAACTCGTCCAAGTTCAATTTATTATTTGAAGTCACTTCAAAATAATTCATCTGATTGTTGGTCAATTTATTGTTCATTAATTCCATTGTATATGTCTTACTATTGTTAGACTTTTAATTTGTGGGTTTTTATTCTTGGATTATGGTTAGTGCCAGACTCAGGTACTTATACAAGGGTAATCCTAAAAACACTAGAATGTTACTGTAAAGATCGAAACCTGTGCCTATTTGATTAAACTTCTAAAATTAGTTTATTTCTAAAAGTGTTTTTGGAGATAAATAGTTTGAGTAATCAAATTACAAAACACTTTCAAGGAACAATTAGCGCTTGATCAAAGATTCAAAAAAGTGTTTTTGGCAAAATACTTTGGTTTTTTAAAACAAGCACTTTTGACTTCTCAAAAACTTTGTCAAAGAGTATAAATCAATGTTTGGATCTCTTTTATCACTATACTCAAATCTTTTCTTATATTAAGAGGATTAGTAATTTACAAAAATAATTACTTGCAATGCTTAGTTCCTCTAAAATAAGAAAATATTATTGGAAAAGACTTACTACTTTGGAACTTTCCTTAATCAATGACTAATCTAGTGTCTTAGACATTTGTTTTCCCTCTTTAAGTAATCATTAAATTAAACAAATACTACTTAGATTCCTATCAATTTATGTTTATAATTTGTGCAAAAGAATCACAAATCTTTTGCTAATCAAAACGTGATACGAAATAGAATGAAATCCAACAAGATAACCTAAACAAGTAATTTGACTGCTGTCATGATAATTAACAATCAAGAATCAATGGGATTCTCATGATCAAATCTGACGGTTCCAAATCAGCAACTCTGATTGATTTCTCACGTGGAAAATACTGTAATCAACCACTAAATTTCTTCCACGTGTACATTTTCACGTGTACATTAGGATAAGAATTTTATACTGACTACGGTAGAGAGGATTTGTGGGTCCCAGTTGTGCAAAACGCTGAGCCGATAGATTGATCGGCTTGAAAATGACTTGATGGAAGCCGACAAGTTGACAACTCACGTCGGCATCTTATTAACGCGGGAGACATTTATTTAGTTTTGGATGGCGACATTTAAGGACGTGTGCATTGATGGACCGCTTTCTTCAGTCCGGCTCACATCTGAATTGGGAAAACTACACAAATTAAATTCATTGGGTTAAATATTTATTTAAATTAGATTCAATTTAATAATATATTTATTCTGATTGGATTCACGATTTAAATTATTTTTCTAATTGTCTTTCTTCTATTCAATGAACCACTGCTGATATTATTGGAGTATTCATATACTCTGATAATATTGCAGTCTTTTGTTCACTGAAATTTGATGTCATTAGAAGATATATATATATATATATATATATACTCTAATGGTATCAAATAGTAATTGAGTATTATTTCCACTAAAGCATTGCTTCTTCTTCTTTGATACCATCATAGAAGACGTATATATACTTTGATGATATCATGCAGTAAACGTGAATTACTAGTTAAAAATAAAGGGTGTAAAAATAAGGGATAGCTGTTTTTAAATAATTTCTCTTTTTGGGATACAAAGTGTTTTTTTTCCTTTAGAATTAATCGGCCCAACTTAACTAATAATACCCGCTAGATAGTTTAGTTTTGAAATTTTCTCATTGCTAATCAATTATTGGATGGTAATAATGTTTTCCTCCATCAGAAATTTTTTCTTTCTTTCACATTATGTGTTATGCACTTGGAATTTTATGTCTAATATTCGTTTTACTAAAACAAAAACTATTAAAAATGGAAACATGAACTAGATGGAGATTTTTTAATGAATTACATGTATTTTTTTTATCCGTTATTTGTTACGGTATATCAAATCAATACTGTAATATTTTTGTACACTTATAGATTGTTTTTATTGCTGTGATTTACTGGAGTTGTCTTGTACTTGAACTAAATTTCAAAACTATTTTGTATTATTTGACAAAGAAACTTCTCATCATCCCACGGATAATGACAAAAGCTTTCAAGGCTTGAAGCAACTTAGATTGATGACATTAAAGTAGATGATGTTAAAAAAAGAAAAAAGAAAAAAAAAAGACGTAATTAAGCAAATGTAGAAAAAAATAAATTGATCCAACTAACATCTATATAATTCCTGTTACGTGGAGATCATATTTCTGTTTTATTGTTGCGTCCAAGAGGGATTTGTTTCTCTTTGATCATTTGTGTCCTAGTTGGCTTTATCTTATCTTAGCTACAACTTTTCTTTGTTAGCACAAGATCTTTTTCTTTTTTTTTACTTATGTTGAAGTGTAGCCTAGTGATAAATAAAGTAGATAAAAATTATGAATGAATATTGATAGTTTATTCTCTGTGATTTTAAACTTATAAACTTTTCAATATTTCAGATTTACTATTTGTTACTTCTTTTATTTTAATATATGTGGCATACTTTCTATTTAATCCGTATAAAAAGGAATGTCATCTTTTAATGATCAGGAACGACTTAACTTTAAAATACTTCTTTTATCCGGTAAAGTAATTTATAGTCACACAATTGTTAAAGATTTAGTCTATAAATTCCAAAAGACCTTTCCATTTTCTTGGGAAAAAAAATCAAGTCATGAAATGTTTGTCTTAGTGAATTCTTACACATAAAATATATGCTTCATGTCAAAATATTAAGTTAAGATGAATTCTAATGATTGAGTATTGCATTTGTCATTGATCTCCTATACAATTTTTCTTAATAGATCTACACCAACTCTCTTAAGAGTATCATACGCCTTATGTGTAGTTTTTTTCCCTTTCAATTATCAATGTCAGACTTTGTTCGTGCACTAACACAATCACCAAATTCCATTGGAGAAAAAAACAGTGTTGATAGAAAATAATAGATATTCGACAGAATAATCGATATATGTTCAAGCTAGCTAGTTCAACCATCTAGCTAAATTCATGTGGGTAAAATTATTTAATATTATAAATTAATAGAATGTAATAAGTATCCAATAAAATAATTGAGATGTACATAATTGAACATTCGAATGTTATCTTTGTTTTTAAAAAATGTTTCTCTGATTCCTACTATGTTAAAATATATACGTAAATGGAGCATATATATATACTTCAAGAAAGAGAATCAAATTATTACGAGGTTAATTAATTATTGGTGTGAAATGATTATTTGGTTTCAACAACTCTATATCTAAATATAAAGAACAAGTAGACTAGAAGGTGAAGAAAAACATGAGCGTTGACAAGTACAAGTAGGGAAAAAATCAAATCAATCTGTTTTTAATGATAATATAGAAAGGGGCCTCGGTGGAAAATTTATACAGAAACAAGCAAATTGCTATGGCAACCCATTTCACTGAGCTGTAATGATGGGTCACATGTGGGTAGGATTCAGAAATTTTAGATGCTCTCCTAAATATACATTGCCATATTTTTTCTATTTCTTTCTAAGTTTAAAAAATAAAATAAAATAAAGAATAAATGGATTGATATTTCATTCAATTTAGTGGTTAATAAAGTAAACTGAAAGAATCATGAGGTTTATGCCAGTTTCAAATGTCAACGAAAGCAAAAATACTATTCTTTCTATGTCAATTTATATGTCACATTTTTATTTTTAATCAATTTTAAAAAAAATTACACATTTTTCATTTGAAAAGTCGTTCTACCAATTTAAATTTCAGTAAAAATAAAAATATCAATAAGTGATTATTTCTCGTCTATCCTAAGCTTTGACATATTTATGAGACTATGAGAGATAGCAAATATATTTAATTAGTCTATATACGACAAGCTAACAAGCTGATTTGAATACCACGACCATAGATAAAAAACAAGAAATAGTGGGAGTGATAGATAAGATGTGAAAAGACAAAGTCCTAGGAGCAAGTTGGTGAGCTTCTGATATCTTCACTTAGTTTCTGAATTCTGACTCCTAACATTTTTCTTGCCTGCCAACATCTCTCTGGCTCCTCAACTCTTCCACTACTCTTATTCTTCAATCTAATTTCTTTTGTCCATTATAATTTATTTATTTTTAAAATTAAAAATATTATTTTATCTTTAATAAATTTTTTTGTGTAATCATACAAATGGTATGATATAGTTAAGATTATAAATTTATAATGTTATACTTTCGCATAAATTTTATGACATATTTAACATCACAAATTTAAAATATTTTTTCATTCTTAAATTTTCTGTCAAATTAAATTGATTCACATAAATTGAAATGATAAGATATTATTTTTTAATCCTAAATTTTTAATTCATTTTTTTCCCTTTTCACAATGTTGATAGGAATATATCCGGGGATAATGAAAAAAGGAATAAGAACTTCTAGTGATATTGTGATTATTTTTGTAAATAGATTTTGGGCCTATTAGAATTCTCAAACCTTAGCTTATGAAATGAGAATTATCATATACTCTTTCCATTCTATATTATGTGACATTATTTGATCCTTAATATGATTTTAAAATTTATCGTCTAAAATAATCCTTAGATATTTAAATAATAATTAAATTATTTTTAATTATAATAAGATAATATATTTTTAAAGTAGTATATAAAATAGGACAAAAGGAGTAATTAAAAAAATAACAACATATTCCTTCAACTAAAATTAACATTGGAAAAATAAAAAGAACTAGAAATGAGTTTATAATTAGTTACAGTTCTGCCTAGTCAACTGCTCCAAAAGGAATTGAAAAAGTAACTTTATAAATGGAGTCCAAGCACACCTAAAAAGTTTGCTAAAAAATGCCTTGACTGTCATTTGCTTTTTTCCAAATTATTTTTTACTATTTGCAAAAAAGTTTGCCTTTTTTTTCTTCTGACAAACCAATTAAAAGGGTATGATTGACACTCGGTAAACTTGGTCATCATCATCTAAAAAAAGATGGTAAAAGGGAAGACTAAAAAGTACTCCCTCCGTTTCACAAAGAATGACTTCATTTCCTTTTTAGTCAATTTAAAAAAGAATGACATCTTTCCTTTTTTGGTAACATTTTACTTTTTGCTTTCCACGTGACATGTTTAAGACCACAAGATTAAGGGCAATTTTGTACATTTGACATAACTTTAATTTAGGACCACAAGATTCAAAAGTCTTTTTTATTTACTTAAACTCCGTGCCAAGTCAAACCAGGTCATTCTTTGTGAAACAGAGGGAGTAGTAAAAAAGTAACAGTAACAAAAATATTGTTATGATTAAAGCTATGATTAGAGGGAATCTTTTAGAAAGATTTGAAAAAATTGCCAAAGCCTAAAGTTGCTTCGACGGATATACACTACTAAGATAGATAGAGATGAATTCAAAATTTAAACGTTTATTAAATTTTATTAAATTAGTACCTTCTGCTTTAATTTTTCTCTTCCTCTGCTTATATGTATCAAATGTGTAAATCTTTTTCTAATACTGATTATTATAAATATATTTTAAGCTATTATCACTTGTTTTTTACTTTATTTTTCAGATTGCTAATTACTTTTTATGAATAATTATGTATAGATATTGATTATACTTAGATAATTTAGTAGTTGAAAAAATATTTTTCACAAGGTTAATATATATAATTTAAATCGGCTTTATCTTTTTTTAGTTTTTACACATTAATATTTATATTTAAATTCGACTAAACACAAATTTATATCGAGAAATTCATATGTATTTAGAGTGAAGCTCTTTCTAATAATAAAGTTAATTTTATTATATAAAGCTCAAATTCAAATTTTCAAATTTAAAATAAAAAAATATTTATCACTTTATTACAATCTTATTGATCAGTTTAAACTGGCTTCAAAATACATGTGGTTTCATGAGCTTTTTAGAGCACGCATGGAGCAACAATTGCTAGAGCAACTAAGCAAACCAAAAAGGAGGTGGACAGAGCTTTTCTCAATTCCTAAAATGTTTAATTATTTATTAATTAAGAAAAAAACAACATTCAAACTGACGGAGAATAATAAATATAATTCTTTTTTATTAACGTTCAGAACGCATCTCAATAATCTCATGCTCCCCATCTGCAAAACTATAATCTTACAGCCCCACGATGAAGACGATTACAATAATGATATATTCAATAAAATTTTGTATGTGATGACTAATAATTATAAAGAATATCGTATTTATAATATTTTATTTTTATCTTCACTAGATGAAGATTATTTTCAAAAGATCCTAGATTCAAATAAGCTGCTTGTATTGTTCGAATAGTAAACACTTTTCGTTTGCAATCTTAAAATCGTGAATTTAAATATATAATAATCGAAGCTCCCCACAGCTAGCCCCACAAATAATAAAGAACATTACATCTCTTGTCAACTCTTTGAACTTATATAATATAAAATATTTTATTCCTGTGCGACCAATATTTTCCCATTTAAAATATATACTACTCTTTTTTCTTCCTTTTCCATATATAAATAGTAATTAGCTAATGTTCTTCCAAACAACATATTGCAAAAGGGGTCAAGTATTTTGGTATTCCAATATTGCAGCTAAAACAAACTCTTCTTTCTCTAACAGCTTCCAGTTTTCTGTTATATGGTAAATTTCTGAAGTTTCATCTGCTAATTAATCATTTATACAACTAGACAAATTGTAGCTAAAACTGACGTTAGCAAAATCTATTTTTGTATATTATCACAGATTTATATGAGTCAAGAATATGGTTGTTAGAGCCACTACTTCTGCATTTCACTAAATAATACAGAGTTTCATTCTGTCACTGAAGTGCAACATTTAATTTTCCTGCAGTCTGCAGCTAACTTAATTGTAAGTTGTTGTTTTCTTTAAATTTCAATCTTGATTGTCACCGTAATATCTAGAAAAGTTCATTAATCGATCCATAATTCAAAGTCGATGGGTTCAATATTTACTTCGTTATTGCCATTGAATCCATCAACGAATTAATACATCCTTGAAATTTTAGTGATTTTTCATGTTTTAATCCATGACTCACATTATTCAGGTATTGAAGAGCTAGCGGAAATGGAGAATTTGGATTGGAATGAAACTCCGTTTAATTTTGGATCTTCATTTGATCCAATACATGTAATTTCAAATTGGAACATGCCACAACGCCAAGAAGCTGCTAATAGATTGGCTGCTGATTCTATGGCGGCTAAAGCCGGAGCAGCAGATCTAACCCGGGACTGTACTGATGTAGGCTTTTCTTCTTCCCCAATACTCAATATGCCTAACAATTACATCAGTGATAATAATCCATTAGGCCTAATGTCCGATTTCGGTGTCGAAATTGTTAAGCCGGCAACTGGGCTAATCTCCAATACTGTATCTCTAGAATCCATTGATTGTTTATTATCAGCAACCACCACCAACAATACGGACACATCAGTCGAAGACGATGGCATGTCCGTAATTTTTGCTGATTCGAATAGCTTGTGGAATTCCGGAGAGTCTGCCGGAATTAATCCGCCTGCAGGTTATCAACAGCTTTTGACCTGTCTGCCTACTGACCATAAGATACAGGAAGAAGAACAAAATCAAAGAAAACGAAAATCTTATGAACTAGATGAAGCAGTTTCACAATCATCTCTGGCGAATTCTTCGAGCGAGTTCAATCTATTCCAGTCAAATTGTGGTAATTTTCAGCTAATTTCGGAAAAACAATCCAAATCCAAGAAGGCGAGGTTAATTGAGACGAATAAGCGTCCAAGTTCATCAAACATCAATTTCCAACAAGCTAGTTCATCAGTATCGTCAATTGATCAAGAGCCCGATCCGGAGGCGATTGCACAGATGAAAGAAATGATATACCGAGCTGCAGCATTCAGGCCGGTTGATTTCGGTGCTGAAGCACTAGAAAAGCCTAAACGGAAGAATGTAAAGATATCAACGGATCCTCAGACAGTGGCGGCGAGGCAAAGGAGAGAAAGGATAAGTGAAAGGATTAGGGTTTTACAAAGGCTAGTACCAGGAGGAAGTAAAATGGATACAGCATCAATGCTTGATGAAGCAGCAAATTATTTGAAATTTTTGAGGTCACAAGTGAAAGCATTGGAAGTAATAGGGCAAAAACAAGATCCTTTTACTTCAATAGTACCATTTAATTACCCAATTCCCATGCAATTACCACATTTTCCACTACAAAACCCTACTCAAATTCATCGACCAAAGAGTTGACATGCTTTTTTTTTTCTTTGAGGAAAGGGACAATGTAAAAACTTTTTAAGTTGATTTTTTTTTTTTTTTAAAAAAAAAATCTTTGTTTTTGTTGTTATTCTTCCTCCCCTCAGTTTTCTATAAGATGGGACTAAGAATTATTTCTAGTACGTAAGAAGTTGATAATTTTTATTTCTTTGCATGGAACAAATAAGGACTTGTTCAATTAGAATGGTAGTCTGTACTCTGTAGCGTACATTTAACATACGTTATTCTAGTACATCTTACTTGATATCAAGACTAGATGGAGCTTGAGTTTGAGTAATTTGAATTTGATTTATGCTTCATGAATTGGCGAACAATAATTATGCTACAAACAAGTAATTTTGATCTTGAACGCACTTGAGATTTGATTTGTCTTTGTTAATGATTCACTTTTAAAATGTTTTGGTGGTGAAATGGTAGACACGTGAAATGAAGATTTCACATACTACATTCTATCATTCTGATTTATTTGTACCTTTCGTTCAATGAGAAAATGAGTCCAATTTTACCGGCTTGATCTTGTGTACTTGAAACTTGTGCAAAAAAGCATGACTGCTGGATTTTGATTAGTGAATGGAAAAAAGAGAGCTTAGAGAATAAAGTAAATAACATGCTTCAATAAGTAAAAAATATATCTAATAGCTAGTGTAAAAGTTATTTATATTGCCAATATATATTAGCAGCTTAATCATGAGTTTCACTAAGGAAAGCTTCAAAATATAAAAAGACAAACATATAAAAAAAGTCTAGAGAATTTCAATATCTAATATATACGTAAAAAAAAATTAACTTTTATGTTATATATAAAATACATTTTTTTCGATAAATTAAAGGGTTTGGATGAATTCCTGCACCTCTAGCTCCACCTCTCTTGTATATAGGTTAGATAAAAAAGAAAATATGTAACTCTCTGTTTTAAGCAATTTTGAAAAAAAATTAATGTTATCAACACTCAGACTCATGATTATTTCATCATGATATAACTCAGAAAGTTAGCTTTACTGCCTAACTAAATAATCTTGATCCAATATTATATCATGATGAACTCATTATTGCATACTCTTAAAGCTTCAATAATGAGCATCATAATGAGTTCCATAAGGTGAAGATCTCAAAAGGCAATAAGTAATAATAAGGGCTATGATTAAGATATTGGAGAACATAAAAAGTGATTACCACTTTGTACCTGCAAGTTTAATTATATTTAATTTCAGATTTTTGTACTTAGTTAGAGATGTTAGAAAAGTGTGAACCTTATTTTAATGTAAAATTAGTGAATCCTAGTCAGTGGTCCTGTCTCCTTGATTCGATCCAAAGCGTGCCCCTCGGGTTTTTCACTCCTAATCCTTATTGCTAACCACGTTTATTCTTCCTTTTTGGCACTTGCTCTTTATTTTAATCCTAATTATCACAATGTTTTTATGCAAAACAGGAGGCAAAAAAATGCTAACCGCTAGATACTTATCTGATATTTACATAAAGTCATATTAGTTAATTTTATATAGAGAAAAGGCATAAAGTTATTATTGAAGTTGTCCCGAATTTTCAAAAAGATATCTTAACTTTGCAGGTGTCCTATTACCCCACGAAAGTATCTAAATCCACAATAAATATACCATTTTGACTAATTTTAACACCACTCATGTTGTCACGAAAATATAAGCGCGTGAAGACTCTTGATACAACTTCAGACCAACGTAAACTTGTCATCTGGCACCCCAATTTGACAGTTTTTTTAAAAAAAAAACATAAAAACCCATGTATTTTTTTTTTTAAAACTTTATTAAGAATATTTTTATTTTTTCAAATCTTTTTTCTCATCTTCCCTACCATCATTAGCTTACCCATATTTCTTGGGGTATCCATGTCTTCCTTCATTTTTTTTTTTTCCTTTCTGGTCATTGTTTTTTTTTAAAACTAATGTTATTGTGTTCATTCTTCTTCTTCTTCTTCTTCTTCTTCTTCTTCTTTTTGAAAAACAAATTAGTTCCTCCTACAAATCAAGATTGGGATTTGGGAATAGTAAAACTATGAAAAACTCGATTTGGGAGTAAGGAGTTGGAGAAGGTGGTGATTTAAATTTCAAATTTTGCTTGGTGATATATTTTGAGTATTTAGATTTTGATTATTTGATGATATTTATTTTCATAAATAAATTAATTGGTGGTAGTAAGTAGGCAAAAATGAATGCTGGCTACTAAAGGGACACAAAGTGTAAAGAAAAATCCATTGCAAGACACCAACAAAAGCACATGAAATAAAATTTCCCATGAAAACGATGAAGGGAATGGAATAGAAGAAGAAAAAAAAAGAAAAAAAGAATGGAACAGAAATTGAGGTGAAGAAGAAAGAGAAAAAGAATAAATGAAAAAGAAAACCAAAGAAATCAAATAAAATAATTAAAAATTTACTTTTAACACGTGGCAAGTGACTATTAGTGCGTGTCTTACAAATATTTTTGTATAAGTGGTACTGGGTGAAAAATGGGGTGTATATACTATTTTGAAGTTGTTCAATGGGGTAATAAAACACCCGCAAAGTTAAGATGTCTTTTTGAAAATATTTGAGACAACTTTAGTGGTGACTTTATGTCTTTTCTCTTTTATATATATGATGATAACATATCAATCAAATATGATTAAATGATAATAGTGTATAGAAAAATACATACAAATCATGCATCTATTAATGTGATGTAAATATCAATCAAACTGCTAGGCAATTTATTTCCATCTTTGATACTTATCTTGATGAATTCAATATATTTTCAGTCTTTCTCACCACTGAATTCATACTGAACTTTGTAATTATAGGTTCAAGAATTTGATACTTTTTTAAAAATTCTAATGATTTCACATATAAATTTGTTTATGCTTCGTGAAAAACATATTAAGTTCAGTTAAATTCATCAAAACTGCACTACGTACACCATGCCCGATAGAAAAGCCTAGCTAACTAGATGTGATTAGAAGCTGGCACGGATATCATCGTTTTTTTTTAAAAAAAAGGCGAAAAAGAAGAAGAAGGAAATAGAAGCAGACATGTGTACAATTAATTCTTGTTGATGACGAGTAGGATGATGGTATAAGGCAAAGTGGTGAATCTTTGGGAAAAAAAAAGTGGGGTTTGAGTCTTTGGTAGTATTGCTGCAAGAGGGGTTGGGATAATTGGACTTATTTGATTGGATAGAATTAAGAGGTTACAGATTTTGTTTACTAAATATAGAAAGTTCTGTTACTTGACTTGTAATAATTCCCTACTTGTTCTATTTCAATTGTGTATAATGTCCACAAAATCAACATATTATAAGGTGCTCATTTTTGGCTAGCCATGATTTTTTTCTTCGTTTTACTCGATATCTGCATTGGACCTAACTAGTTCAAATTCATACATAAATACATCGTATATTATTAAAATGATTTTATTCTTTAATTCTAAATTCAAATTTCTGATTAGAAAGAAATAATAATTATCGATCACTACAACTTTTAGTGGTGGCTAGTCGTCTATCATCTATGATGTCTTTAAATTGGTATGAACCAACTAGCTGGACAACTAGAGTCATAGCATAACCGTTTTTAGCAAATATCAAAGTCAAAAATTTATTTGTGTATTTTTATGGATAGGAATGAACATTTGACTTTGCTTTTAGTTAAACCGATTGTGATATGACTATCTACTTGTCCTAGTTGATTTTCGCGAGACCGAAATCAAAAGGACAATAAATCTTTTTAAAAACTTCAAAAGGGCAACTCAATTAATTAAGGGCAACAATTTGTAACGGCGTCTAAATTAGGGTTTCAAAAATGAGGCACAAAAACCCATGAGCCTTGCAAGGCTCAACCGCAATGAGCCTTACAAGGCTCAAGGTTGTCAGCGCCTTGCAAGCATAAGTGGAAAAATATTTAATGTAAGTTGTGATCTACTTTTTAGAATTTTGTACACTAATTATATGATAAGAAACTTCTTGTTAGATACATGAGAACAAACAAGAAAAAGAATGATAAAAAAATAGTTAAAAAATACTATTTATCATTTTTTTTATTTTTTAACTATTTTTTTTATCATTCTTTTTATTTTTGTATATGCTTACCCTAATTCTTGCGATTTGCATGATTTGTATAAATTCAGAAATTTGTAAATTCGGTTCCGGATTGTATAAATCCAGAATTTTGTATATGCTTACCCTAGCTATTGTATATGATTTATGGAAAATTCATAATAAATTACCTTGTTTGTATATTGGCAAGCGAAATATACAAACGGAGTTTTGAAAAATTCCTAAATGTATAAATACAAAATTCGTATAACTTTCATAGCAAATAAAACTATAGCTATGAAGCACAAATATCAAAACTATAGCTATAGAGCCTGATTATATTTATTATGTTTACTATTTCTATTTTATTTTTTTATGGGATTTTGTATTTGAAAATAATATCGCTATATAACATGTACCCAATTTCTAACTTTTGATGTTTACCCAATTCGAAACAATCTAGATATACGATATCTAAGTTTAGATTTGACAATACAAACTTCAGAGAAACATATGATTGAAATTCAAGCATTTTATTGCAGTTTTGATGCATAGTATCGGTGATAGGTCTATTTCGAGGTAGTCCCAAGAATGTTGGGCCAAGACTCCAACAAATCTAGCGGCCCACGAGAAGTTTGACATATTTTGGAGCGCACAATGGGCCAACTAGGCCCCAAAGCAGTTGATTTGACCCGCTAAATTTGCCATGCCTCCAGGCCCATATCCACTATAAGGCTTCTGGTCCCAATGCTCTGAGATCGTCTTTTTTCCATTTATCATATGAGAATATTTGTCCTAAACACTTCTCAACTAGTTTACAAAATAGGTTCAAAAAATATACTCGATATTTAACATACGTATAATAAACATACCAAAACATGTACATCATATATATGTTTTGTGCATATTTTAATCAGTTGATAAATCAGTTGATCGAACAGTATATATTTGTAACATTATTTATAAAATACTATAAAACTTAAAACATGTGCAAGTATTTTAGCAAATCATGAAGAATGACGCGTGTTTGATTTTTCTAAAGTCGTACATAAAAAATGGTGTTGACCTTGGGATAAACAAATTAAAGACATCGATCGAACAAACTATAAGGAAGCTGCTGGAACTATTATATATACGTTGATGATGCACTCTAGGAATATTGTACTCGGTTATAAAAATTGTGACGTTGCTCTCAATTTTATAATCAAATCAATGCTGAATAATGATAAGGAATTTAAGTACCCAGTTTGTTTAATTAGTTTATTTAAGGAGATCTGTTTTAAGTCATTTGATAATTTCAATAGAATAATCTCTTTATACAAAGTTGTATCAGTTAGCAGAGGTAGAGTCAGAATTTGAAGTTTATGAATTTGTAATTTTGGTCGTTTAAGTTATTGGTTTTGTTTACACATATTCATTACACTTCTATCAATGTGATAGTACTCTGCACTCACTGATTTAAAATACAGTATTTGTACATAAATTACATGAAACAAAACTACGTATTGCACAACCAAATAAACACACGATCATCGATCTCATCCTAGGATCGATGGAGGACATTATCCAAATTTTGTGTTCTTCAATTAGAGTCATAATTATCAATCATCTGCCTTAAACATTGCTTTATTATCGTGACAACGACAGATATAGCTGGTCTATTTGTTGGTTCAAGAGAAACACAAGCCATTGCTAATGCCACAATTCTCTTTGCTGAATTCACATCAACTTCTCCTCCTAATCTTGGATCGATTATTTTTGAAACATCTCCGTTATCATTAATCATACCATTGACCCACGTTATTACATAAATCTTGTCATGTTTTCCTAGTAAATGCCGTCCTGTTATTATTTCCAAAAGAACCACACCGAAACTGTATACATCACTTTTCTCCGTTAGCTTATTTGTCCTGTAGTAACTGCAGGTCAATCGAGAGTTAAAATTAGATATACATAGTTGTTATTCTTTTTGAGACAGACTAATAAAATGAGAGAGAACGTACTCAGGGTCAAGATAGCCTGGACTACCCGCGATTATGGTGGTAACATGACTTCCCTCTCCAGTTGGTAAAGTCCTTGACAAACCAAAATCAGCAAGTTTTGCTTGGAATTTATCATCTAATAGAATATTACTAGACTTGATATCTCTGTGTATTATTGGTGGCTGGCAACCATGATGTAGATACTCCAATCCTTCATTATTTTTTCAGTTAAAATTAAAAGAAACACGTCAAATATATAATTAATCATTCTAAAACTCGACTGAAATTATTTTCATCTAGTGGTGTATATATTATATATATACCTTGTGCCGCATCCAATGCTATATGAAGTCTTTCCTCCCATGTTAAAGCATTTGGATTTCTATCTGCACGCAACGATTAAAGACTTGTGAAATGTGTGATCTAAAGAACATTTATTTGACTATAAATAAATCAGGTACCTGATAGTTGCATGTCTAAGCTTCGATTGGCCATGTATTCGTAAATAATACCAATGTGGGTGCCTTCAACACAATACCCAACTATAGAAATCAAGTTCTTATGATGTATGCTCATCAGGAGACTAGCCTGTCAAGTCAAATTCGTGTTAACTAAATATAATGTCTTATGTACTAAAAAATACTTCTTCAGTTTACCTCAGCCCGGAATTCCTTGAACCCTTGAACTGAAGATGGGGACAGCATCTTAATAGCCACGTCACGGTTATCGACATAGCCAAGATAAACTGTTCCAAAACCTCCTTTACCAAGGACTCTCTGGAAGTTATTTGTCATGTGCAAGACCTGTGAGTATGTGAACTGCCGGTTTTTCAACTCCAATGCAATGTTTGGATTCTGTACTGTTCTTTCTGTCCCAGTGATATTCCCTGTTACAGAAATTAATTTCTTCAATGACAAATCATCTGGCAATTCATCGATCGATCTTATGATTTGCTCACCTTTTTTGTTTTTCTTCCTTCGAATTATAAACCAAAGTAGTAGTAAAGCCAAGATGCCCAAGACCACCACGGATGCAATAATTCCTGCTAGTGCACCAGCACTAAGGTTATTACTATCTTTCGGAGGACGAAATTCATCATACCTGTATGACAAAAAATTAATTGAAATGTAATTATAAGTAAATAAAACCGTGTCTTCACTATCTAACGACTTGATAACAATTCAATATAACATCAGACTATAATTTTAGATGAGTTGATTACACAATTTAACCTGTGACCAATTATATGAGAAATTAATATCGATCATAGGGGAGATAATTTTCTAAATCAATCTTAGATGTTTTTTGTATACTCATAAATTAATTCATGGATTCTGAGAGTGGAACAAAACCTCAAATCGAGTGATTCATTTTTTGATTTTGCCAGCAATTCTTCAGGAATTTTTTCGGAGAAACTGTTTCCTTTCAAGTATCTGTCACAAAGATAACCAAATTACTCTGTGTTCTAATTAAATAAATACCCCTTCTGTTCTAATTCATGTGACACAATTCAAAATTCTAAACTTTGATAGTGAATTGAACATAAAATTACTATATATCAAAATTTATTAACAACTTAAAATATTTTAAAATCATATTTGGAATTGTGCCGCATAAATTGATACAGAGGTAGTAATTGTAAACTAGAGGTCATGAGTGAGTAAATTACAGCTTTTTTAAGAAGGGTAGTTGTGCGAGATTGGCAGGGACCTTTCCCGTCAGCTGATTGTTTGACAAGTCCCTTCAACAGAAACACAACAATAATGTCATAAAAATCATATTAATTGCAACTGTGCCGCATAAATTGAGACTAAATGAGTTATAGGAGAGTAAATTACAGCTCTTGTAAGAAGGCTAGTTGTGAGAGATTGGCAGGCACCTCTCCCGTCAGCTGATTGCTTGACAAGTTTCTTTAACAGAAACACAAGAATGTCATAAAAATTATACTTAAATATATAAGTGAAAATTTTATTTAATGCCTCGAGACTTCATTTGTTTCACAAGTTGGTGAATTAAAAATTTGTTCGACCCAAAAATACATGATTTGGGTCCACTAATTTGTGAAACAATAAGTAGCCTCGTACAAGTTCTTCATTTTCTAGTTTGCTGCAAGTGATAAAGCTTGCAGTATGTAGATACTTACAACGTTTCTAGATTTGTGAGACTTGTTATGTAAGGCGATATTGTCCCTTGTAATTCACTTGAAGATAAGTCTCTACTCAACAAATTAACTATATGTTAGTTTCATCCTCCAAAGAGCAAAATTAGAAGAAACATGTTTAGAGTATATAAGGAAAATACAAGGATATAATTGTGGGGAGATCCCCATCAAAATTGCATGTGACGCCATTCCAAATGTCAGCTACAGGGCCGCATGGATCTCCTTGCCAGTTCTTTTTAACCCCGTACGTTGATTTGACATTCATAATAGCATCAACTAATAGCAAAATTAATGTCAAATAATTAGTGGATTCGAAATAAAAACTATTAGTATTATTAATCCTTTCAATCCATTCAAACTTAAGGCATAGCTTGTTTGACAAAGCTTTTACGACTTACGAGTTAAAAGTATTTATTATTTCTGAAAAGTGAGGTGTTTGTGTGCGTGCACATAAACTTACCATCTAAGTCATTTGTTTGAGGGTTTATGATTTGCTTGACTACTTTATACAACTCGATGGCATTAATGGTGGGTTGACGAATTGAATTTCCCGTTTTGTTGAGGGAAATTTGGTGCCTGGATTTTGGCTGTAGAGCTGATGTTGAAAAAACTGTGGTTACGGACATATAGTCCGGAGCAAATGCTCCCTCATACAACTCTCCATCAACATATATGTTGAATTGCCTATTTACATGGTTGGCTTCAATCTCTGCAAAGTGCAAGTAGATATAGTACTCATCTGTCGAATTTGCAGGTTCCCACCAAAGTGATATTCCATCAGTGTCATTATCTGCTGTTATTGCTGTGCTCAGCACCTTTGACGGCGGTAAATAACTGTTGGTGTTAGCAATGGTTGAAGTCGTACTCAATGATATCGTGTTTGCCACATTATTATATGGCCACCATAAACGATCATATATGTCATCTTGGTACCTGATGAATTTTTTTGACCGTATATTAATAGTAATAAAATGTTGTTATAGAGGATGAATTTGAAAGAAAACAAAGAGTATTTACCTTACTAATTGAGTGGCTGTTGAGCCAAGATCAAGACGTACGAATGTTTGTAGTGACCCGGATGTGGTCTTGTATATGGTTGTATTCAAGAGTCTCAGTTCAAGTGCGGATATAAATGGTGTTCCTCGATCCTTATTTACTAGACAAACCTGTACAAAATCCGATGAGAGAATGTGTATGATCTCTCCATATAACGGAACTGAAGCATTGACTATATGAATCGTGGTCCAAAAGTCAACTCCGAGATGAAGATCAAAATTGATCACTAGCTGACTCTTTCCATCATAATTTCCGTATAAAAAGCTTGCCCTGATCAAGTATTTTTTCCCTTTTCCTTCTGGAACTCTAATGGTGTAGCAATTTCGTTCTCCTTCAGGAAAACTTGTGAGAGTGTACAACTGTTGTTCCAGGCCATCGGAATGAAACTCACTAGAGATAGTAGCGTTACTACCTGTATCGATGAAACCTGAATCGGATACATACTGTAGTCCTGTAGCTACATCCGTGTAGTTGGAACCTTGAGGAATTCCACAATCTATGCTTACGAATCCTGAATAAAATTGAAGAATATTAGAAGCATCATTCAATTAAAAGTAAAACTGAGTTGAAAGACGAAATTATATATACCTGATTGATCAATTTGGGCGTTAGCTTCAAGTGCAAAGAGAGAAATACAAATTAGAAAGATAAAAATCAAGTCTTTCGTCATTTCACTATTTCAGTGTTGAAGCTAAGCAAAAATTTTAGATTCTTGATTACTAGAACAGGGAGTAATTAACAAGCTTAATTATACGCATAATCCTGGTTGCGTCACTAATTATTTTGTTTTTATAAATTCACAAGAAGTTACGACGTTAGAATTATCCCGTACAGGAACTATTCTTAGCAATCTATTTTATCAGTAGCCATCGTATGCCAGAAAGTGAAGTGAGGATTAAAATAGTTAAGCTTAGTTCATGAGAGAGATTGACTTTGCTAATGATGACGATCTTGATAATTAAGTTTCATTAGATTTTTTTTTTCTGATGAAGTAAGAAAATTCTATTTAATGACGTCAAGCAAATGCGGCATCAAAGTTATAAAAGATCGAGTGAATGTGACTGCTCAAGAAGACAAACACTAGTCTAAACTAACACGAAAAAGCATATAAAGAAGCAGCTCGGTGCACAAAGTATCCTGCATTTAGCAGGCCACACTTAAAAGGATGTGATATAGACAGTCTACTCTAATACAAACATTAGTGACTGTTTCCAAAGCTCGAACTGTGATCTATAAGTCATAGGAAGATCACTATTTTATCATTGCTCCAATACTCCCCTTCAACACAATGGAGCATGCACATTCCAAAAAACAATCACAACTAGTTTACAGGGGCCTGGTCTAGTCAACTAAAAGAGACTAAGTAAACATTTTACTTTTAGAACATGAATTGGAGTTGAAATCCCATTAAAATATCTGTGATTTCTCCATTTGCAGTTTCTCCGCTGAATTACAAACATAGAAAATTCTCAATATTAGCACTATAGGATAGAATTTAACTAAATATTTTTAAATTTGAATACGTCAACCACTGCTTGGTCTAAAGTATTTCAAGAGGGGAAAATTGTGACAATGACAATGAAAAACGATAATATCAATTTAATCATGAAGTACTCCGGATGGTTTATGTACGTACATCTATAAGAAAGATACATACATATCACGAGATTAAAATAATAAACTATATGAACAATTTTATCGATCATGTTGACGAGGAACATGAGATTTCAAGCTCCAAATTCAAATAAAAGATATCGAGAAAATGTCAACCATTTGATGTTCTAATACTGGTGTCATATTGCTGAATAATATACAGAACACAATTTACAAAAGTCACATAGACTTTGAGAAGGATAATAAAAAGGAAAAAAGGAAACCCATAAACTTACTCAAACTAATCCACAAGAAATTTTCTTTGATGCAGAGGCAATTCCTCTCCAAAAGCGAACGGACCTTGGATTTGATGAGTTCAATTAAACTAATCGTTTTCGATACAATACATAAATATACACGTGAAATTTCACTTAAAACAGCAACAAATTTAAATTATGAGAACCTTAAAAGGTTGAACTCATCAAATTTACATAATTTTGGGTCCGCCTCTGCTCATGCCTCACATTAGGACTTTCATACCACCTATGTGTTTTCTCCTTCTCTCTTTCATTGTTACTCAATCTTCCACGCGCACAAGAAAAGGCAAAAAGGCGAGGCTCTGGAGTGACTCAACGTTGAATAATACTTAGTATGATCGCTACAATCACTGTCACCTCCAACGCTACTTCCATCTCTGTCACTTTCCAATTCAGACACCCCTGGCTTAAAAATGAACAATCCATGAGTAGAACCAGGTTCACAAAACAACCAAGAATGCACATCCCAAAACACTTGTACGTGCTGCTCGTTGACTAGTACCGTTTGATTTCCCCTGAATTTCCATTGCAAATTCTTTATGTGAATCAAAACAATCCCATCTATACTTATCCACATTTCAGGATCTCTTGGCCCTGAAGTTGAACTTTCTACAACAATATCACTTTCTTTTTTATTGTTTTCAAATTTAGCCCTTGTTGAGAAACTTTTCTTACCAAAAACATGTTCTTTTTTGTAAAACAACAATGCATCTACAAGAGCTGGCCTTGATTTTGTTCTCTTATAAGCTTTTTTCTTGTAATCACCTAATAATAAAACAACTTCTTCCTCTGCAATTAACGCAACATAAAAATCTTTAAATGGTTCAGGACTACCAGAAAATTTTGCTGATCTTAAATCCCAATAAGCCTCCAATTGATGTCCATCAACCTCAAATGTCTTGTAACCTTTTTTAGCCCAAAAATGCCAAGGTTTTAGATCAATCTTGCAAGTTTGATGATCTTCATTTTCTACGCTATCAACAGATATGGTAAGGCAATGATTCATCATATTTTTTCTCCATATAACAGTCACATTACGCCAATATCCACCGATATGAGATTGGTAAACACATGTAACGCTACCCTGAGCATTTTTAGGATCTACAGGATCATCTTTTAATTTTTGAGCAATTGATGGTTGAGAAGAAAATGATTTTGCCCTCGCGGTAACACGATGAGGCATTTCTCAGATACTTGAAAAATACATAGAATTCATGGCTATATGCTACATGAATGTCAATTAATCTACATCCTTTGAATCATGAAATATCAATAGAAATAGGAATTAGCGACCAACATATTATATTTACCTCCAGAGACAAAGTTGCTCAGGTTTCATCAATGCCTTAACAATATAAGGGATTAATTGTTAGTAGTAATATATTTTGTGGAATTTAGAGAGTAAAATTTGTTTATTTTTGGAGAAAAATTATGTTGGTAAAAGGTTCTGGGGAAGGAAAGACCCTACCCCTTAGGTGAGAATTTTTTTGAATTTTCTGTAGGCTTCGATGCTTTTGTTTAATAACTATAATTATTCTGATAAATCAGAAGTATTTCATTAACCATATATTAGGACGTGTCAGAAAACGTGGGTAAATTCATAAATAGTCATATTTTTTTAGCTTTGTATTTTAAAAAATAATTAATATTTTAGAATTCGAAATTTCATAATTAATGTTATTTTTCAACTGACCTAACTTAAAATAAACGATATGAATGGAGCAGTAATATTGATATTTGACCACTTTTTAGTTATAACTAAATGAATACTAGCTATTATCATAGAATTTTGAATTTCATATGTAAAACTATATGATAGCAATTATTCCCGAGGTTGTAAAATTACTTATTTTTAGCACTTTTTTGAAAATAAATTAAAGTTTTCTTTGTTTCTTAAATTTATGCAATGTTGATTTACTTACCTCCAATAAGAAATCGGAAAAAACTACTCTCTAGCAAAACTAAATAGAAAAAGTTGTTGTCTTCAATTCACTTTTATTTATCATGTTTCATTTTATGACGGTACATTTTAATTAATTTTTAAAGTTAATTAAATTAAATTAATTTAATATTTTAAATTTTAAATTTAGATGTATACTGTAAATTACGAGCATCCAATGTTTTCCTCCCAAATAACGAGCATCCCATTTGATATTTTGTCCGTTGTTTAATTACTCTAGTGCTATTTCTTTACCGTGTAGTGAATATTAATCAAAGGGCGAGATGGCGTCGACGCCAATGATGCCGCCGAACGCCGACGGTAGTGCACCGGCGGCTCCACCGCTACCTGGGACGGACATGACGAGCATATGCTTCAGAGACCAGCTATGGCTGAATACTTATCCGCTCGACAGAAACCTAGTGTTCGACTATTTTGCACTCTCCCCGTTCTACGATTGGACCTGCAATAATGAACAACTCCGTGCCCGCGCCATCCACCCGCTGGATTTCTCTCATATTTCGTATGATTTCTTTCCCTAGTTTTTGTTCTTTTATTTTCCCCTTTTTTGCTGAGATTATGATTGGGTTGGGAATAAATTATAGAAAACGAACAGAAAGAAGTTTTAATCTTTGTACAGTTAGAATTGCTGACATTGTGAAATTGAATTATTGGGGTTTCAATTCACAACTTGTCTTTTAATTTTTCCGCTGGTAGAAGGTAGATTGAAAATGCAAAATTTACTCAATCAGTTTGGAGTTCTTGGGGCGGGCAAATGGCTGAGCCAGGAATTTTATTAAAAGCAGACGCACTTAAAAAGCAATTAAGGGGAAATTTTAACCTAGCTGAACAGTGTAAGTAATTTTCCGACGAAAGGTGGCTCTGCAGTTGGGGCAGGGTTAGATATTTGGGGAAAGGAGAGTATGTTGGAAGAGGTTTGATAGACACAAGTACAAGTTGGAGGCAACTGATATTTGGGGAAAATTAATGATTTTGTTATTCTGCACAAGTTCATTAGCAAGTGCAAGGACTTAATTGGTATGAGTATTCCTTGATTTTACAAGACCATATGTGAATGTATGGTATTAGGTAATGGAGACATGCACAACTAATTGTGCAATTGAATATGCAACTTGTTTTGTAGGAAAATGACGGGCATGGAATACACGCTGAGTGAAGTAATGGAGCCTAATCTCTTTGTCATCCGTAAGCAAAAGAGGGATAGCCCTGAGAAGGTCACACCAATGCTGACTTATTACATCTTGGATGGTTCAATATACCAAGCTCCACAGCTCTGCAATGTGTTTGCAGCTCGACTTGTTAGTATTCTAGTCTTTTTGATGCCATTAAATTGTCTTTTGCTACCTGTATCTTATATGCCATTATCTAGACAAACTAAGAGTAGCAATCTTTATCTTTCAGCTTAAGAATCTGGGCAGTTTAGTAGCAAAGAAGTTAGCCTCTTTCTTGGGTAGGAAATATATTTTGCTTCCCTTCTTCTGTCTTTTTGTTCAGAGAAGGATAGTTATTTGACTGAGCACTCAAGATAAATCTTCTAAGAAAATCCTCCCTTCCGCCGTATAGAATAGCTTACGTCGCTTGACAAACTTCCCTTCCTACCACTTAGAAGGTAATTGTTCCAAATTCAATAATTATGTGATATTGATTTATCCAGGAAAAAACTATTTTATACTCCTGGCGGCAGATTGGTTTTGATCTGGTGCTAACATTCTGAACATCTGATCTTTCTGTTGGTGTTTCCTCCGAGTGATCCATACCAGGTGTGCAAGAATTTCCTTGCCCTTAAAAAGGAATTTTACT